TTTTTTAATTTAACTTATAGAAACTTATTTTATGAATTTTTCTTTTAATTTGAAATTTTATTGTTAAAAAAGAAAAAGTATATGTATATTTTTTACAATTTAATTTTTAGAAACTGATTTCATGTTTAATTTTTTTTTCTATGTTTTAGTTTAACTATCTGTTAATTTTTAGACGTTATGGTTTAAAAAAAATATATATTTTTTGATCAATTTATTTAATTTTTAGAAGTTTGTTTAATTAATATCTTTTTTTTAATTTTTCGTAAAATAAAGCTTTCTTTTAATTTATAGTTTTTATTATTAAAAAAAAAAAATTTAAAGAAAAATATATCTTTTTTTAAATTAAAATTCATTTTTAGAAAACTTCACGTTAATACATCATTCAATTAGTATTTTGAAAGACAGAAAAAAGCTTTCAAGATAGTTGCCAGAATTGATATTTATCTTACGAAAGGCTGTGGTGAGCTAAAAACCAGTTGCCAGAATTTCGAAAGACTGATTAGATATTCTAATCTCTTCATGTTGTACCCACTGAGCTATACCAGTTAGATTCAATCATAGCATAATTCTTCTTCCTTAGCGCCTTGTAAATACTATTTGTTCCTACGTTAAAGAAGGGCTCGAAGCTATGCCTATATTTTATTGTTTGCCTCCACTCATATGCGGCCCGGTAATCATGCTAGCTAGAGCTTGTTTTGTCAACCAAGGAAGTTAAGCTTCTCCTTGCAATGAAGGACTAATGATGACTTCGTCTCCTATGGTAGGAAAGACTTGACCGCCACTCGGATACCGCTAACGATTAGGATCGTCTCAACACCATACTTTTTATGATTAACTAACTCCACACACATAGACAGATTGCTTAAACTTCTTCGGATATTACATCATAGGAACAGATATATTCACCCTTATTGCGAGTGTCGACTGGTAGATGATAAACGACTATCATTCGATTGTCGCTTTTCCATGGCATTGTGAACGTCGTTGTCTCGTTCAATAAGTCAGTGTGAATAAATTATAGGCACTCATCCTTCTACAAATAAACAGTTGAAGAGGGATGAGCGACTAAAAACTATTCTCAGTGGCTTATTCAACGAGAAATCGGCATTAACAATACCATGGAAAAGCGATACTCGAATAATAGACGTTTATCTGGGTTTAAAGATCTCCGCCTCTCTTATTCCTGGAGTTGGAAAGATGTCACTCTATTAAATAAATATGCACCGAAATTGTGTGACAACAGAGTAAGAAAACCGGTTTTGCCATAGAGAAAACGAAATCTCATAACGCACTCCTTGTGAGTGATATGATGCAGATCGGTATGAAATAAAATCTACTACATATCGCCAAAAAATGCCTATCCACTGTATTTTTTCTTAGTTGCTCTCTAGGGCATTATCTTGACACCTGTTGCCACAGTTGTGCAAATATTTTTTCTCCACTTAATAATTTAATAAATCTATTGCGAAACCGATTAATTCCCTGTTTCCGAATCCACTCCGAAATGAAAATTGATTTTTCGAAACCCTGCTATATACGTCGAGGATGCAAGTGCACAACACACAACTCCACCAAGAAAAGGAAACTCAAAATTATATATTTTCAAAAATGTTAATGCATAATTTTATTAAAAAAAATACTATGTATCATAGCTATTGATTCTTGGTTTAATTGCTAACTGTATATTAAAAATACAAGAAAAAATAAACAATTATCAACATAAATAGTATGTTTCATTGTATAAATATGTATGTCTGTATAAATGGTTTAATAAATTTTACACTTAAATTTATTCTTATACCAATTTTTTTTCAATACTAAATTAACTGACGCATCAGAGCTGCTTGGCAACAGAGCAACACAGTTTCTGCTTAGCTATTACATATAATTTTTTCTTCGTTTTTTTTTTACAAAAGTACTTAAATATAACTTCTACAGGTATTTAGTTTAAGTTTAGTGAAATAATAATTTTTATTGCAAAAATATTGCAATTTTTTTATTTATTTTTTATTCAACTATACTTAATTTTAGCTTTGCCGATTGCGCATAATTGGCGTAAAAAAGGCACAAAGTGATTAGTTATGCCGGCTTGATAGTAAACTTAAATTTTTAATTACATAGTAATACACGCATTTGGAAAACGCAGCTAGTAAACTTAAAACACAGCATTAGAGAATGATAAAATTAATCGCGAATGGATATAAAAAATAAATAAAAAAAACTCAATTTACTCGCCGTAAAAAAATATTAAGACTTTTTCAATTAATTGGAAAGTGGTGAATTTATTAGGGTGCGTTCACACAGAAAGCCGTGCCGAGCAGCCCCGAACGAAGCTGCAGCTGTTCATACTAAACGAGGCGGAGTAGAGTTTTTCGCATTAAATCGGCTGCAAGACACCTTTAATAAAATGTGGCTGATATAATTTTGAATTGAAAGATGCATGAAAAGATTTACCGAAAAATAAATTTCATAAAGCTGAAAAATAAATAGGAAGTGAAGATTTCAAAACCGCTTCTAAAAGGCTTGCGGTATGAACACTTGCATAAAGTTATAGCAATTAGAAGGCGTAGCTCCGCTCGGCGGAACTGCTTGTGTGTACATATGTACATAAGTACACTTAACAAAAAACAACAACAAAAATACCTTACAAATATTGACTTGCAGTGTTGAGCATTGCAAATTCGTTGCTATATAATAAAACAAAAACCAAATAAAATAAATAAAAATGAAATTGAAAAAACTGAATTTAATTAAAAAAATAAATAATAAATTAAAAAATATTTGTTTTTGTTATTTTTTTTGGCCTGATAACAATTATATTCAACAATTTATATTGAGCTCGAGGCCGTTTTTTAAATGAAAATTTATTGTGGAAAAGCAACAATAATTTGAAAAAATGGTAGAAGTGATAGCTATTTCGGAAATCACCACATTTCCTCATCAGACTTCTTTCAGTAG